TCCCTTCTCCCCCTCCTCCCCCTCCCCCCTTTCCTCCTCCTCTTCTTACCTACAGAGGAAAGATCAGTTCCAGGTTGGCCGGGGCAGTGTCATCGATACAGCTGGTGTCATTGTTACCTTCCACTAACAGATCACTCGACACCTGCCAGCCCAGGCAGGGCTGGGCCTAGGCATCGCCAAGCAGAGCAGGAGGTGCGGCCCCTCCCACTGTCCCAGAGCCCTGGAGAGACCAAGGCACAGGTACAGCTGGGACGTGGCGCTGGGTGGCCCACAGAAGGACCACATAGCTCCTGGTGCCTTCTGCCTGTGCAGGGTTCCCGCTGCCTCTTCATTTCCTGCTGCTGGCCCCGGTTGCTGCCCTGCAGAGAGATGAGTTGGGGGCTGGCTGGGACCTGGGGCAGAGCAGTGAGGCTGCACAGAAAAGGAGCTTCTGGGCTGGCCTAGAAGTGAGACGTTGGGGCGAGGAGTAACTTGGGGCATCCCTTCTGCAGCCCGGGTGGGCTTCCCTCTGGTGGGTGCACCCCAGTGACATCATGCTGCAGCAGATCCTGCATGACATGTACATCGACCCCGAGCTCCTTGCCGAGCTCAGTGATGTGCAGAAGCACATCCTCTTCTACAAAATGCGAGAGGAGCAACTGAGGCGCTGGAGGGAACATGAGGCTTGGGAGGCACTGGCCCAGGTGGAGGGGCTCCGGCCCCCGAAGGTCAAGCGAGGTATGTGGCTAGGGGTCACCGAGAAGCCAACCCCGGGCTTCATTGGAGGTGGATGAACTACCCATGTTGGGCTGTGCTCTTCACACTGGCTGACGAGGGCTGACGCCGGGTCTTGTGAGTGCCTGGTTCCATTAGCCTGGGCCTTCTATATGTTGACAAGTTCTGTAGGGCTCCTGGCTGCAAAGGGGCTAGTTGGGGACTTGGATGAGGCTGGGGGTGCGGACTTTTGTCTCTTGTGAGATCTAGGTTCTGGGATTCACTCAGGCTCAGGCAGTGATTCTGGTGAGAAGGCATATTCTTGACTCTTACTGGTGGCTCTGGGACAGGACCAGTGAGCAATGAATATGTGCACTTCCTCCCTGAGTGTGGGGCACAGAAGTGCTCGGCAAGGGCATGCATACATGTTCCTCCCCCACCATCATATGAGAAGCCACCCGGGGTACCTGGAGCCCCGATAGGCATCTGCAGAGCAGGTATCAGGGAGTGTCAGTCATAGCTGCAGGCAAGAAGCAGGTGCCCGACATGGGTCACGGGACCTGCATACAATCATGTGCCGGTCAAGCTCATGGACTGGTGCGCCTGTGATTGCAGGAAAGTGACTAGGGCTCCTGGGCCGGAAGCAGATAGGCTGCCCATGCTTGCAATAGGACTCACAATCCTGTGGGGATCCCCTTGATGTGGATGCTGCACTTGACAGCTTGGCAAGCCCCTTGGTCCTCTCTCTGCTTTGCTCCCCAGAACACCCTTCATCAAGGTCCCCATGCTGTTCGCCAGAGTAAAACGCAAACTTGATCTGCAAGGGTTTCTAGCCAAGACAAAGCTCCTGCTAGCTCCTGCTGCCTGGTCAGGCTCACTGCTGGACACCCTGGTGTGTGCCCCTGGCTGCACTTGCACCTGTCTGCGCATGCTTGCTCCAGCGTCTGTCTTCGCAAACAGTGCTCTCCACTGCAGTGTTCCCTGGCTTCATTCTCCTGATAAGCTCCTTCAGGGCAAACCCCCATCCTCTGAAGTCTTTTAGAGATGTTCCTGGTGCAGGGAAATACTTGCTTCTCGCAGTGGCTTGGCAAGGAGGACCCATTCCTGTCCTAGCTTGCCACAATGTCATTGTCATTCATCATCTGGCTTTCCCAGGGGACTTAAAGCCTTGGAGCATGAGACCATACTCCATCCGTCTTCCATCTAGCTCAGAGCTGGCTCAGAGTGTTAAATTCTTGTTTCAAATAAGACACAGTAGAACCCCAGTGGGAAAAGTGACGACGCGGTTGTGCACGGCTGGTGCCAGGGCTGGAACGTCCACACTGAACTAGGAGGTGAATGACAGGCTGCCGTTCCAGCCCTGCCTCGCCCAAGCCCTGGGCCTCATGTTTTCTGTATGGTGGCTTTCTGGGAAGAAGACAGATGCTTAAAAATTCAACTACAAAAATGTTTTGACGGTGATTTGCCACACATCGACATTTACATTTTTGTGTATAAATTATACATTAAACTCATTTGGGTTTCTGGTGCAGAAGACTCTTTTCTGGGTAATTAATTTTCTGATTTATAGAGAATGAGAAGGAGGAGGAAGCGCGTGGAGTAATGTGTGCACCCCAGGCTGGGATCCTGTTCAGATCACAGCTCTTTGCTTCAGTGCTGCCTTTAGAAATGGTCTAGGTGGAGGTGGGGAAGACCTGGGTCAGGTGCTGAGTCAGCGCTGGCTCTGCACCAGAAGGCGGGGTTTCTGACTTGCGGGGTCCAGCAAGCACAGTGCCTCCTGCTTCCTGTCCTGGGGTCATGATAAAGAGCCACAACAACCCCCAACTGCTGCTTGAGATTTACATTTACCAGGAACTTAATCTCATTGACTGTTCCCATAGGCTGTGACCCCATTTTTTTTAAACAGGTTTTTCCCCCCAAAGATTTATTTATTTATGCATACAGAACTGGGGTATAGACCAGAGGTACAGGGGCAGTGAAAGAACTCACCAGAGACAGAGTGGGGAGCAGAACAGGCAGATCGATGAAGTACAGTGCTGAGCGGAGCAGTGGGTACGTCAGGAGAGGTCAGCTGCTGTGCCATGTGGGTCACCTCTGGGGCGGGAATGGAACTCACACTGAAGCAGCGGGCTCGCTTGCAATGTTGCGCTTTAACTAACCCGCTGCGCCACCAGGGATTGAGAAATAACTCATAAATGACTCAATCCATGGAGTCAAGTGGCAGCCCGTGGTTATCTGTTCATTCACTCCTGACCTGGGGAATTCCATTCAGTGAATGATCTGTGCGTGAGTTTAGCTGTTCATTCAATCCTTCATTCTCTTATCTGATAACACTGCAAGGTGCTGATTTGATGAAATGGACAGGGCTTTGCCTGTAGAGATTGAGGGGACACAGATCCCTGGAACATGGCCAGCCTGAATGCTAGGAGCAAGGCTTGGCGTAAAAGCAGCACATGACCTGCCATTACCCAACCCTGCTCATCGCCTAAGGCCTCTCTTCCACCTCTCTTTTTTTCCAGGCCCTAGCAGGACTGAGCCGGCTGTCTCTGGGGCTCAGGCAGGGCATGTCCTGTGCTGAGAATTCTGCTGTCCGTTATGTTGGAGAAGGCAGGATTAGACATTTGTGATGTGACTCTCTCCTGGATATAGGCCTCAGGGATTTTTATTGATCTTGGGAAACAGCTTTGGCATCCACATAGGAGGAAGCCAGGGCAGTCATCGGTGGGTACAGAGACTGCCCAACCACATGGACATGCCTTTGTTGTTTTCACTTTAACTTGATTGAGAAGCTTCTGGTATTCTGCTCTGTTGTGGACAGCACAGACATTGGGCTTAGGTTCTTTTTCCATGTCCCATTATTTGCTGTTGTACCAACTTTCTGACAAAATATGATGTCCGGTGGGAATGCGTGGTTGTGTCGAGACTCTGTGGAGCGTGTACCATTTTGTTCCTGTGAGAGAGAATCTTTTACCCTCAGTTCCCTTCTTTCTTCCAGAAAAAGACACACCCCATGTGAGGAGCTGCCGTCTTCACAGCCCCTGACCCCTCCTCTGCTCCCTCCATTTTCCCATTTCCCTAGAGCTGAGCTGGGCATTATCTGGAACAGGTGTTCACACTGCAGTTTTGACCCAGAAGCTTCCCCACCTGGACCTGTCTGCTGTGGTAGACAGTTTCTGTCAGTGGAAACTGGTTCCTCCGAGACCACCTCCTTTTTGTCTGTACGTCCTTTGCTTGGGAACCAGTCGTCTTTTCCCACCTTCTTGCTGAGACCAAGGCTGCACCCTCAGGGAGGTGGTTGTCACCCCCAGGCCAACCCAGTGTCTGCCCCACATCCTCCCTGCACTGGCTGCCCTCCCCCCACCCCCGCCCCCCAGGCCTGTCCCTCCTTACTCCAGCCTGTGGAGTACTTCTAAGTCCCTCTACAGAGAGCTCTAATTCCAGTAGGGCTTCTGTCTCCGCTGACTCTGCTCCCCACAGGACCCTCACCCTGGGCTTCCCTCTCTTTGCTGGCTCAAGTTTCAGCCTGTGCAGCAACCAGAAACAGCCCTGACTCAAGGCTGCAGGAGACTCCTCCTTTGCACCCTCTGCTTCAGCATTAAAGCCATTCCTGGTGCATGTGGCCCTGGACATGGGCAAGTCCTGATCTACGTGGGCCTGGCTCATGCCCTAATGTAGTCCCTCTCACTGGGCATCTACCTTCCCTCTGTTTCCTAGGAACTGAGCAGTAACCGTGGCAACCCAAACTGCTAGGCCCTGCTGTCCTAGTCTCAATATGTTCCCTTTCTGGACATGAAGTACTGACCTTGAACACCATCTCTGCCTGGTGTCCTGTCCTTGCCTGCAGAAGTGCCTAAAGCAGTCACGTCTTTGGGGGGTCCCCGCCTCATGCTCAGCCCCTACAGTCTTTCCTCCACAGAGCCAAAGTGCCTTTCAGCACAAGGATTAGCTCACGTGTCTCCCTGTCTCAGTGGCTTCCATTGCACACAAAGAAAATATGAGTGCTTTTTCTGGCTTCTGCCCGCTTTCCGACCCAACGTCTACTCATCCCTGTCCTTCCACGAAGGCTCTTTACGAGATCCTCAGGAGGCTGGTACCTTCTCATCATTCACTTTGCCGTTTAATGTTGATCTTCACTGATCACCACCCCAGTGAGTGAGCCCCATTCCATCTCTCATCTCTCTCACATCACCTGCTTAATTTTTTAATAGTATTTACCTCATCTGACAGTATCTATTTTTGGAGGTAAAACACATACTTGTGACATTTCATACATTCAACTGTTGTGCAGTCTCTAGTTCTCGAGTGTTTTTATCACCCGAAAGGGAAGCTCTTATCCACTAAGCAGTGACTTCCCATCCCTTCTGTCCCAGAACTGCAGCAACCACCCATCTACTTTCTGTTTCTATGGGTAGCCTTCTCCTCTCCCTCCTCCTCCTGCTCCTCTTCTCCTCCCCCACCTCCTTTACCTGCCCACCTTCTCCTGCCCCCTCCCTCTTTTCCTTCCCAGGCACCTTCTCCTTCTGCCCCCTCCACTCCCCCTCCCCTCCTCCTCCATCAGTTTGCTTGGTTATGGTCTGTCTCCTCCAGCATCCTGGCAATGTTATGAACCCATGGGCTTTGCTATCTTGTTTCTATCCCTGTGTCTGGAGAAAGGCCTAGGATATGGTTGTGGGGGGAGGTGGGTGAGGAGGTGCCAAGACCCTGTGGGTGTTGTGTGTCATGGGGTTTGATTGCGGGGCCTGGTATTGAGTCCTTTTTTGAGTGAAAGACTAGTGCTTTGCAGTGAGGCCTCTCCCTAGACCTTGGACATCGTCAGTAAAAGTATAAAAACCACAATACGCTTATGCTTTGAGATATATGAGCGAACTGGAATGGAATTTATAATATGTAAGTACAGGTAATTCTTTTACCTTTCCCCTTATTTCGTAGTTTAAGATTTGACACTTATTTCATATTTTAACCCTTATTTATGTTTTGAGATTTGACTTAGGTTTTTGTTTGACCAGTATTGCTTTTTGTCTGCATCTGTTTAGTGTAT